GGTAAGTTTTCCCTCGCATTGTCATTATTTTGCAAGTATATCAGGTTTTGCCATTTGGCAGAGGGGTCTAGAAATTTACAGATCTTTCTATATAATAGCTTCGCACCCTCTCTGCGTTAAGCGAGGGCACCCATCCTGAGTGTCGAAACAAGATCGCGGAAAATGATCGCTTCAACATGAAATATTACAACCTCATCAGCAGACACGCCTTTTTTGCTGTCAATTCTTACATATAGTTATTTTAGGTCTTCATTCACAGTTTAGGCTTAAATGCGTCAGTATTTGTTCAGTTATCGTCGAAAAATCAAACTGTACATTTTATATGGAGTTGCTCACATTTAGCAAACAAACTGTCCATTGCGTTGTGATATTACTGTCCAGGAGTTGACAGTTTGTAGTTTTAACCGTCATGTCATCAAACATTATTCTAGAGATATTTGTTGTGAAGAAGAATGTTTTGTTGTAGACCTGCCTACCTGGCGTATTTTGGCGTATGTATTACGATTTTGTATGATCAAGTAGGATTGTACACCCATATTGCAGTTTGTTCGACAGGGATTTAATGTAAAACAAACCCCAACATGTACGATCAGAAGAACAAATATACAAATGTACATCTACTCCAGGAATAACCAAGTCCTGGGTCCCGTTTTACAAAGCTCTCGTAAGCCTAAAATCTCGTAACTTTTCTCGTAACATTCGTACTTACTATACTGTAACAATGACTTGCGATAGTTGTACCTTTGTGAAACGGGGCCAGGGTTTTTCCAAAGTATGTACATTGTTCATACTATCATTCAGATATTAGCATTGCACATTCGGGTAAAGCACATCACTCGGCATCTGAAAACCAAGCGACATCTAACCAATGTTGAATGTGCGACATCAAATACAATAATGACTTCCTTTGTTCCCACCGGTGGCACCAGCGATATGGACAAGTCAATGGCCGTTGTTAAAGCAGAAATCCAAATGACAGACGAGCAGCAGCCAGACCAGCTACAACTCCAACCACAAAGGGCCAGGAGAGCTGCAGTCAGCCACATGGCTCATAGAGGTGAGGGGATAACAGTTTGGACAGTTCTCCTGCCTCCTAGACACCCATTTGAGGCTGAAGGATCCAGTAGCGTTCCAAAACTACACAAGGTTAACACCACAGCTCTTCGATGAAGTCCTGCAGATGGTGGCCCCAGCAATCGATAAGGGAAGTCACCAGTTTCAGGCAACCTCTTTCACCTGGACTAAAAGTGGCAGTCACACTTAGGCACCTTGAGGCTGGAGACAACTACGGGTCCCTTGCGTATGCCTTCAGGTGTGGATTCATCTCAGAGATGGTTCTAGAAGTGTGACAGGCAATTGTGTTTAGCCTACCTGTGACCCCTGAAGCCTGGACAGCCGTAGCTAACAAGTTTGAACAGAGATGGATATATCCCACGCGAACACATGGCGAACACATTGCTATCAAGAAGCAGCCTCAAACTTGCAGTCAATTACAAGGGCGTCTTTTCGATATCACTCCTAGCTCTGATGGATGCAGATTACAAGTTTGTGTGGATCGAGCTTGGTAGAAAAGGACACATGTCAGATGCTATGATATGTGGCGACTCGGGGCTGGTCAACGGCATTGAAGATGAAGCCCTAGAACTTCCCCTACCCTGCCCTCTGACTGCAAGCCCTGATGACCACCAAGACATGCCCTTCTTCATCCTTCGCACTCAGGAACTACCTCAAGAAACCATACAGCAGAAGGATGTCCAAGAAGGCGAGGACTCTCAAGAGGGAGGATAATCGTTGGGATCCTGGCCAATAGATTCAGGTGTCTCCTCATGACTCTATGGCAGAAGCCAAATACTGTGAAGGATATAGTGGAGGTGGCAGTGGCTTTGCACAACCTATTGAGGCTGAAGCATCCAGGCATTGCAGCACAGTAGGTGGGCGATGAGGATGAAAACCACCATGTCATCCCAGGGGCATGGAGGACCAAGTGAACTGGCTAGATGTGGATGAACCTCCTGCACCTCGCAGCCACATCAGCTAGAGCAAATGCGATGGATCAGAGGGAACTCCTAAAGGCGCAGTAATTCTGATTTCCAGTACATATATGGGCGCAAGAACTCGTCACAGATCGTGAGCGTCCGTGAAAATACTCGTATCTGCTCGTGAGTCATTCGTGTCTGGTCTGAAGCAGTGGGACCAGAGTGTCACAGATTGTGGGAGATCGTGTGGGAGATCGTTCCAGATCGCAACACATCTCAACAAAGCGTGGTGTTTGTCTTGTCCACGATTGATTTCGACCACTACGATGTCTAAGCACGATTAGATGGGATATGTTGCGCTTTGTTATGATGCAATACTGTGTGATGCGATGATCACGATTGACAATAAAATTGTGTTGATCGTTGAAATTTTGAAACATCCAAAATTTCTCTACGATCAACACGATTGCCACGACTGACCTCAAGATCTGATAAGATTTCATAGGATTGCCACGATTAGTCCACAATTAAGACCACGATTTCAATCGTGGCGCGAATCTTTATAGTGTAAACATAGCATTTGGGGGATCCATCACAACAACTACCGTTTCCATTGCCAAGTCTGTGGAAAAGGACCCGTGAAGGTCCGGGTTAGAATACTGATCTTCAGTAACCCATGCTTGTCGTAAGAGGCGCCTAACGGGATAGGGTGGTGAGGCTCGCTGACTTGGTTGACACATGTCATCGGTTCCCAACTGCGCAGATCGATGCTCATGCTGTTGAGGATTGTCTGGTCCAGACTGGATTATTTACAGACCGACGCCATACAGCTGGAATATTGCCGAGTGTGGCGTAAAACTAACTAACTCACTCACTCACTCACTCACTGTGGAAAAGGGTATCAACAACTGTGGAATTACGACAGTTCATGTTCTAACATCCATGCAACTGCATGGAGAGTTACTTCAACGTAAACATTCAACGCAATGGACAGTTTCAACACAACTCCATATAAAAATGTAAAGTTTGATTTTTCGACGATAAATGAAATATTACTCACGCATTAAAGCCTAAACTCTGAATGAAGACCTAAAATAACTATTTCTATGAAAAGATGGCGTGTCTGCTGATGAGGTTGTCATTTTCGTGTTGAAACGATCATTTTCCGCGATCTTGTTTCGACACTCAGGAGGGTGCCCTCGCTTAACGCACAACTGCAATAAATAGAGAGGGTGTCAAGCTATTATAGAAAGATCTGTAAATTTCTAGACCCCTCTGCCAAATGGCAAAACCTGATATACTTGCAAAATAATGACAATGCGAGGAGAACTTACCATTATTCTCGGGCACCCTGTGCTGAGACGGGTAGTATTTTCGTTTATCAGCGAGGACTTCGCCCGCACTGGAAAGAAAAACTCTTCTTTTTTCGTTGTGCATTTGCTGGTAGTTTCCTCGCTTTTCTCCAGTCGGAGTGAGTGAGTGAGTATCGTTTTACGCAGCATTTAGCAATATTCCAGCAATATCACGGCCGGGGACACCAGAAATGGGCTTCACACATTGTACCCATGTTGGGAATCGAACCCGGGTCTTCGGCGTCACGAGCGAACGCTTTAACCACAAGGCTACCCCACCTCCCCGGTGCTGAGTAAAAGTGTTTAGTACAATGGTACCTAGTTGAGTAAGGTTTGCCATTTTTAAGAAAATGTTTCAAAACTTGATATTGTTCCCAGAGCTCTCTGCATATCGAACCCGCTGGAGGGGCGGTACGGTAGATTAGTGGTTAAATAAGGGTGGATTTGATGGGTGGAGGAGGAGAGTTGTTCTAATAACCCACCCCTCCTAAACCTGTTTACCCTCCGCCCCTGTTAGGCACTCGCTCGCCACGCCGAAGGCCCGGATTCGATTCCCTATCCCGTGTCTTCAACAGAGATATTGCTGGGATATTATTTTGCGTCGGCCCTCTTAATCACGTCATATCTGTTTACCCGCGTCCTTTACGAATGCTGGATATACACCACCCTTCTCTCGTTCAGATTTGCATGACAGATAAATATCCACTTGCCTTTGTCCAGTGTGAAATTGACACATGTTACCGGGAGACAAATGCGTGCCGTGTGGTATCAAGGTGACCTCCTTGCAATATGTCTGCGCAGTGTGTCCTGCTTGACTTGCAACGGTCTCCAATCCAACACAAGTCAATGTCAAAACTGCAGTCCCAATAATACAACGAACAAACTGATGTAAAAACGAAAGCCTTTATACCTTGTATACGGTATGCTCATACACTGGAATGCACTGATATTACACGTGTTCTCAAATATAGAAAAACAACAATGATCAAGTCTATGTTTATATTGACGTAAGGTGTGGATCTTAGTCGCTCAAACCTCAAGCAATGCTCACAACCTGAGGCGTGTTCAGAACCGCGAGTGCCCGCGAACGCTAGCGAGCGCTCGATCCTGAACGCCTGTGCCCGTTCGAGCGCCCGCGCGTCTACGCGAACCATTCTCACAGCTGCCTCGCCAAGCGAACCAAGATGGCGATCATGTTTAATGTCATTCGTCACCACTCGCCCCTTTCCGTAACCCCCAAAAAGAAGGCATGGAGGATATGGTGTTGATGTTGTCAAATAACATGTATATTTCATCGAGTGGTCTGACAAAGTTGATGTGTTTACGAATGGCGTAACCATTGACAACATTAACAAAATATTCTATTTATTATATTTTGATCATTGTTTATAAATGATCGGGACATCGATTTCGTAGTTCGCGTTTCTTAGTTCCAGGCAAAAGTGATATTCTGCTCAGTGAAAATGAAAATACCATTTTTCTTTTCACCAATATTTACAGTATTTCACCCTTAAGAGTATAATAAAAGAAGCTATTCGGCTTGTCCCGGAACAATACGAGTTGGTCACGAATGGTTTATTGTAACCAAGCGCTCGCGTCCGTTCAGGGTCGATGCGATCGCTCACGGGAGGCAGTCGCGCGTGCGCTCGCGGTTCTGAACACGCCTCTGATATCGTTTACCTCCCGTATGACCCCGTTTGGGTCCCGTCAATGATGAGTCTGTAAGAATGTGGGTCACGACGGCCTATTCCTGCACCTCACCTCCCCTGCACACGCGCGACAGCATTGCACGGAGGAACGTTTTCACCCACGCATCGGAAAGTAAGAACCTCTTTGACTGTACCGACATCTTTTTCACACCACGTACACTTAGCGTTGTTGTTGATGTGTTTGTGTATCAATGTCGCGTCTTTGTCAGGGTATGTGTATATTATATTAACCTGATCCGCAGCTGCTATGGTACTAAGTGGTTAGCACTGCACCTGTGACTCGCCTGGAAACCTTCCCGTGGATCTCATAAATAGTGCGATGCCGATCTTGCCCTCGCCTCCACAAGCTGACCGCTGCTGCAACTCTCCCTCTCAGGTATCGCGTTGCTTGCCTTGTTTAACCATCAACATACCCAGTGGTTGGGAACGGTACCGTACGGTACGCACTGACAACATCTATCAAGTTATGAATTCTATTATATTTCCCCAATTTTCTATTGTCAGGTGATGACTTAAGTTTGTGATGGCAGATCATCCCACTGACCCTCCGCCCGACAGATGGCGCTGGGTGATTGTCGTTTCCACCTTCTTCTCCTTATTCCTGAGTGGAAGCATGGGCTACATCACCGGTGTCATGCATGTTTCCTTGGAAGAAACGGGATTATACGGAGTTCAGGAACTCGCATGGCTCGGATCGCTGTTCAACTGCATGTTTGCACTCACAGGTTTGGTTCATTCTTTGTTTGTTGTTTCACGCCGAAGTCGGCAATACCTTAACTGTATGCATATGATATCGGTCTGAAAATAATCGAGTCTGGACCAGACAATTCAGTGATCAACATCATGAGTATCGATCGACACATGGGATGCGATGACATGTGTCAACCAAGTCAGCGAGCTAGACCAGCCGATCCCGTTTGTTGCCTCTTACGACAAGCATCGGTTACTGAAAAACAGTTCCAGCCCGGAACTTCACTGGTGAATATCGATCTACGCAATTGGGATGCGATGACATGTCTCAACCAAGTCAGCGAGCCTGACCATCCGATCCCGTTAGTCGCCTCTTACGACAAGCATGGGTTACTGAAGACTAATTCTAACCCGGATCTTCACAAATGAGCGTAGATTAAACATGTTGGATACGATAATATCTGCCATCAGCGAAAATGATCACCCGATCCCAGTAGACTCCTAACAACAACCATTGCGCAATATACATCGTAAGTCGTCCGATAATAGCTGTCTTCTCTTTCAGGGCCGGCCGCAAGCTTTGTTATCAGCATGTTCAGCTGCCGGGTGTGTGTGGTGCTGTCTGGTGTCACGTGTCTGATCGGGTTCTCCCTCAGTAGTGTCGTCACCGACATACGACTACTGTTTCTAACCTACGGCTTCTTAGCAGGTAATTGTGTTTGTCCCGGAATGCCATTTGCTAAATACCAGCAATATTATGTGTCCACATAACTCACATCACATTGTAAGCGTGGACGTAGACTAACGCTTAGTTTCTGAATATATCTAATTTTGATAACAAACAAGCTCATTTAAATTGAAAAGGAGCCCCAGGGAGACCAGAGCTTCAGACCTGATCACAGTGTCAAAAAAAAACGTGCGTGAAGCCTATGTCTGGTGTACCTGTCGTTGTGTTTCGAGATTAAGCTGTGTAAACGTTTTCCAACGCCTTCAGATCGTGTCAATATGACGGGCGTCAGTCTTGAAACTAAATCTGCTGAATATACACATATTAAAAATTAAATGCTCTCTTAATGTTTGTTTCCTCAGGTTTTGGTCGTGGCCTGACATATACTGGTTCGCTGGTGATTCTAGGATACTACTTTCCTAAAGACAGCAGCCTGGTGACCGGACTAAGCACTGCTGGCGTCGGTCTCGGGATGTTTGTCCACCCAAGATTGACACAAGCCCTTTTGGACTTCTATGGTCTGGAGGGAGCCTTCAGATTAATTGGAGCCATATCATTCCAGACCTGTGTCTTTGGCTTCCTCATGAGACCATCAAAATTCGAGCGAGAGAAACAACTTACTGAGAAACGGAGGAGGGAAGACGATAACCCAGAAACTCAAAACCGTTTCTTGAACTTTTGGAATACCTTTCTCACTGTGGTGATACAAAATATTTCCTTCACATTCATTGTCCTTGGTGTGACACTATTTTCTATCGGGTTTTCAGCGGTCGTTGTTCTTCTGCCTGATTTCTACTACAAGAATGGAGCCACTAAACAGGAGGCAGCAATGGCCGCCTCGCTCACAGGGCTGGGGGGGTTCTTTTCCCGAACGCTCGTTGGAATTGGTGCAAATGATGGTAATATTGGCAAGATGTTATTTTTCTCAGGCACCAATGGAATAGTTGGTACCTTGACATTCTTTATGTCGATATTTGTCAAGTCTACGACAGGTCGGTACATATATGCATTTCTGTTCGGAACCTACGTTGGAGGAGTATTTACCCTCCTCAGTCCGATGACCATGGACAGTATAGGGGTAAACAACTTTGCGTTCGGTGTTGGGCTCATAATGTTCTTCGCCGGGGCTGGATGTTTAGTGGGGCCACCCACTGCAGGTAAATATTTCACATATCATACTTCTTGATTAAGGGGACCCGTGAAGATCAGGATTAGAATTGATCTTCAGTAACCCATACTTGTCGTAAGAGACTAACGACTCAGGCGGTCAGGCTCGCTGATTTGGTTGAGACATGTTATTGTTTCCCAGTTGCGTAGATCGATGCTCGTGCTGTTGATCACTGGGTTGTCTGGTCCAGAATCGATTATTTACAGACCGCCGCCATATAGCTGGAATAGTGCTGAGTGCGGCGTAAACTAAACTCACTCACTCTTGAGGAAGTTAAGGCTCCGTGGCTTTGTGTTCATCGCCTGTTTTGGCATTGAGCAGGGGAAATTGGATCAAATTACAGTTTCATCGAAATTCCAAGAATACAGTGAAAACTAATTGAATCAAACTTCATTTAAAGAGGAGGGTGTGATTGCTGAAAATTAACAATCACATTCTAAAATTTGGGAAAAAAAACTTGACACATTTTCCGACTTCGGCTTCAGGATAGTAAAACCGAAAAGATTGTACAGAGAGACAAAAGGACGCTATTTGAACGATATAGGTTGTGTAACATATTATGAGCAGATAAACTGGAACGCGCACAAAACCACGTTGTCATTACCTAATACAGAACGCCAGGTATGATTCGCATACATCGGTTATAGAACAAGTGCATAATGTAGCCAACAGCTGGGATCTTAAAGCTTTGATGATTTTATGACGCTGCCTTCTAGAGCATAACCGGTGTCTATTATTACTGAATACAATTAACCCAGATGAACCTCATGTTGATATTTCTTACACAAAGTAATAATCGGTGTTTCTTTCTGAATTATGTATAGTGTACATAAATTCTGAATGTTTGAACTATTAGTCAAATTTCCTTTGGTAATGAATTTAAAACTGTATTAAAATCGCCATTATGCATATTTTTTATATGTAACATTTGCCATTTCCAGTCGTCATATGGAAAACCAGTGGAGAATATCTCACAGCGTTCCTGTTTGCAGGTAGGTTCAGTGTATTTTAATTAGCGGATCACAATGTTCAAATCATGGTCACATTTCTGTGTGTTGTTGACGGAAAAGTATTCTCGGTGAAATTCTACCGAATTTATTTTGTTACTTTTATCATGGCGTGACCGTTCCCATTACAATGTTTCTAGTACAAGTCTTTATTCATGTGGATGTAGGCCATCGGCCCATGGTACAACGTTATACATTGGCAGCCTTCAAGCTGTAGCGACGACGATTGTTAGCATAGAAGATAAACATGGCAAGATTTCTTAAAACCAGAGGAGTAGCATTACTCATCAGTCGATTCAATTTACACAAGGTTGGATGGGTGAAAACATCGACAGGGATAAAACGTTTACGTAGATCACCATAGGCAGTACAAATCAGTGAAAAGTGGTACTCATTTTCTACAAATTTACAGGAACACATTTCACACAATCTTCAGTTTTTTTGTTTCTTTATATATCTACCAGTTTCTATATTCAGTTGGCTAAGGCAATACGAAATTTCTTGATAGTTATGCAATCGAGATATGGCTCAACACCAAAAATAAATTTAAATTGAGAATATAGATAAGTTTTTGAGCCACTAGACAACGAGGAATGCCATTCCTGTAAATATGTGTTTTGGGCTCTAGATATGAATTCGGAAATAAAAAGGTTTATATTAGGAATAAATTGATTTTCCCGAACGTATCCAAAACCCATTGTATACAATAGGTTTTTTAATTTTGATAATACAACATACAGTGGTAGCACAGGTAAGGTCAACAAATGCTCTGCCTCTAGCCAAGGGGTTAAAGCGTACCCTCGTCACGTCGAAGACAAATGCTTAGTCTCTGAATATATATAATTTTGATAGTAACAAACAAGCCCATTTAAACTGAAAAAGAGGTCCAGAGATCCTGAACCTGAGGAAATCTAGACTTGCTTTATTTAGGGCTTTAGCACTGCAGATAGGGCTTGGTAGTAGGGAAAATAGTGTGGTTCAGGGACTGTGAGACAGACTAGTCACGTCGAAGACCCGGGTTCGATTCCCCACGTGGGTACAATGTGTGAAGCCCATTTCTGGTGTCCCTCGCCGTTATCATGCTGGAATATTGCTAACAGCGGCGTAAAACTAAACTCACTCACTCACTCCATGTTACAGGTTTGGTGTTCTTGGGAGCAGCTCTCTGTGGCTTCCTGTCCGAGCTGTTCAAGAAGATACCTCCTCCCCAAGTGGAAAGTATCACCGAAAAACCTCTGTTGACCGTAACCACTCAGATTCAAGAGGAGCAAGACAGTTAACAACTGAGTGAATGAATCCCCTGTTAGCTGGGAAGTTCAGAACATGGGAAAATGGGCACTTGTTTCACTTGGGGATTTTCTGTTGCAGAAAAGGGTTGAAGGGAGGGAACATAATTGTGGTTCAGAGACTAAGAAAAGTGAGTGAGTGAGTATGGTTTTAGCAATAGCAATATTCCAGCAATATCACGGCGGGGGACACCAGAAATGGAATGAAAAGTGTCATGAAGAGACGAATAAGAATGTCTGTGAAGGATGAATATGGGACGGAAGAGTGTTATAGCGCGAGACTACACTATGGGGTTTATGGGGCAGGAATGTGTAAGGATGTGTGAAGTAATGTGCAGACATGTGATAAATTACCTTTTGTTTCTTTATATATCTACCAGTTTCTATATTCAGTTGGCTAAGGCAATACGAAATTTCTTGATAGTTATGCAATCGAGATATGGCTCAACACCAAAAATAAATTTAAATTGAGAATATAGATAAGTTTTTGAGCCACTAGACAACGAGGAATGCCATTCCTGTAAATATGTGTTTTGGGCTCTAGATATGAATTCGGAAATAAAAGGTTTATATTAGGAATAAATTGATTTTTCCCGAACGTATCCAAAACCCATTGTATACAATAGGTTTTTAATTTTGATAATACAACATACAGTGGTAGCACAGGTAAGGTCAACAAATGCTCTGCCTCTAGCCAAGGGGTTAAAGCGTACCCTCGTCACGTCGAAGACAAATGCTTAGTCTCTGAATATATATAATTTTGATAGTAACAAACAAGCCCATTTAAACTGAAAAAGAGGTCCAGAGATCCTGAACCTGAGGAAATCTAGACTTGCTTTATTTAGGGCTTTAGCACTGCAGATAGGGCTTGGTAGTAGGGAAAATAGTGTGGTTCAGGACTGTGAGACAGACTAGTCACGTCGAAGACCCGGGTTCGATTCCCACGTGGGTACAATGTGTGGAAGCCCATTTCTGGTGTCCCTCGCCGTTATCATGCTGGAATATTGCTAACAGCGGCGTAAAACTAAACTCACTCACTCACTCCATGTTACAGGTTTGGTGTTCTTGGGAGCAGCTCTCTGTGGCTTCCTGTCCGAGCTGTTCAAGAAGATACCTCCTCCCCAAGTGGAAAGTATCACCGAAAAACCTCTGTTGACCGTAACCACTCAGATTCAAGAGGAGCAAGACAGTTAACAACTGAGTGAATGAATCCCCTGTTAGCTGGGAAGTTCAGAACATGGGAAAATGGGCACTTGTTTCACTTGGGGATTTTCTGTTGCAGAAAAGGGTTGAAGGGAGGGAACATAATTGTGGTTCAGAGACTAAGAAAAGTGAGTGAGTGAGTATGGTTTTAGCAATAGCAATATTCCAGCAATATCACGGCGGGGGACACCAGAAATGGAATGAAAAGTGTCATGAAGAGACGAATAAGAATGTCTGTGAAGGATGAATATGGGACGGAAGAGTGTTATAGCGCGAGACTACACTATGGGGTTTATGGGGCAGGAATGTGTAAGGATGTGTGAAGTAATGTGCAGACATGTGATAAATTACCTTGATGGAAAAAGACTACTGCATGAACGACTGAGCATCAACTGCATTAAAATGAAGATTTATTGGAAGGTATGGTGCAGGGCTATGTAATGATTTGTGATATAACGCAGAGAAATTTGGTAAATCAACATATTCAGGTTGTAGGTTTTTTTTCTTGAAAGCAAGTACATGACTGAAACAGTGTGCGAAATAGTTTCCAGATTTTGCAAGATAGTCGGGCCAGCTATACTTGAAAGTTACTAGCCCACAAAATAATTCACTAGCCCGAAATTTGAATGTAGAAACTAATCAAAAGATTACAAAAATAGATGAGAATGAGATATTGTCGGCATGACACGGGTTTCATCATTAAGCTGCTAACATGACGAACATTTTATCAGGCCATAATCTTGCATTATTTAAAAATGTATAACAACTTAACAAGTCGGAGAGAGTGATATATTTACAAAATGAGCCCATGAAAACTGGAGGTTAACTGGCCCGACTGTATTTTTACTAGCCACGGGCTAGCGGGCCAGTGGCTATTTCGCACACTGGACTGAAATTAGAATGACTGTGAACTGTCTTTATGACTGGCGGTCTAGAAGGTGGTAAGTAGAAAGGAAAACATGGTTTGGACAGCAACTACTGGTTTATTGCATATAGCGGCATTTCAAAATAGTTCCTTCACCCACATGTGAAGGAACTATTCCTCAGTGCTGCGTCGAACAAGGGGTAAACAAACAAAATGCTTGCAGAAACACGTGCAGCTGTCAGGGACGTACGCGTGCTCCCTCGAGTGTTAGACTCTGGCCCCTGACTACAACACTAGCCTGGGTGTTCTAATGAGTCCGCGACATTGAACCCCAAATTTATCCATTTGCTTGCTGGTACTTTTTGCATTCCTAGTAGAGTGTTGTGAATTATGAGAAGACCTTTAGATTTCCTAATAGGATGCCGTTATTATGAGAAGACCTTTAGTCTTCTTTGTAGGGTGCCGTTATTATGACAAGACCGTTAGCATTCCTATTAGGGTGTCGTTATTATGACAAGACCTTTAGCCTCCCTAGTCATCTGCTGTTATTATGACAAGACCTTTAGCCTTCCGGGCAGGGTGCCGTTATTAACAGAAGAGCACGGTGGGAGCAGGGTGTGCACGACATAGTGAAACGTCATCTGAGTCATACTCAATGGCGGACAGAGAGCACCCTATTCCTTATCTCTCATGGCAAGGGGCAACTATGGAACTGGATATTTAAACTTTCAGTGAGTGTGTGTTTGTGAGTGTGCTTAGAAGTGTGTGTTTGTCTGTTGGGTGGGGGGAGCGGAGAGATGTGGTTGACGAGAAGAGTTTCAGACACTTGTCGCTGCCTATCACACCATATTTTTATCAGAACATCGAGAATATCAATAAACATATATTTTTATGAGTGTGTCAGCTAACATCATATTGTGTCCACATGGGGGGGGGAGGGGAAGCTTTCCGTTGTTCCTATGCCAGAAGGCAGCAACCACATTGGGCGAGTCTGTCATTATCCAGGGTGAGAAAACACGTGTCAGCATGTGTCAAGGAATCAGTTATAAAGATGTTTATATGTGTCTTATGAAGTAAGTGTGCCAGCAGGGGAAATACTTTCATCATCATCAATCTGGATTGTCAGTAGCCCAGTGAAAATCTGGTCATCAGCAACCCATGCTTGTCATAAGAAGTGGTCATCCTCACTGAACTGGTTGCATTATCGTTTCCATGGTGATGGGGTGATGTTCATGTTCTTAATCGCTACTGGACTGTCCGGTTTAGACTCGATTATTTACAGACTGCTTTTATACAGCTGGAAATTTGCTGAATGCAGCGTTATATGACAAATGCGCGTATTCATGGATTTTGTGTTCACTTATCATATACCTCCAAATGAACAGATGTGTCCATCTGAAACTATCTGCACCCCTGAAAGATAAATAATGTCAAAAAATACAATATGGCGGGAGTAATGTTTATTTATAATATTCCAATCTGCCTTCCAATTTTCAAGTATTAATCAGGTTTTCTATGGTTGTGAAGTAGATAATATTAATGTTACTGTTACCATTTATGAAACATATAACTGATGATTTTACATTTTTTCAATGTATGTCTTTTGTAATAAAAAATAGAACGCAATAAAGATGATGTTATTCTTTGTCAATCTAAAGCGCACGGTCACAAAACCATGCAAGGAATTATGTAAAATTGCAATACGCCGTTGCGTACTGTGAATTTGGAGGCGTACCTCAGCCTCAGCCCCAAGATTTTGAAAGGTGAGAACGCTGCTTTAATACTTCTTATTGACAGATAAAGCATCTTGCAAGGTCATCCAACCCCCAACCCCAACCCCACACCCACACCCCACACAATAATACACACACCATCACCATCACCATCACCATCACCATCGCCATCGCCATCGCCATCGCCACACCAGACCACACCAGACCAGACCACACCCACCGCGAGACAGGAGACAACTGTCTTGGGATTCACATTTTGTATTCATGGAGGGAATCGCACCCGGGCCTTTGGCGTACTCGAATCAATACTATCTCACATCCACCTTCAAACAGCAAGAGAGCGGACTGGATTGGGGAGAAAATAAGATATAAATAAGATTTTTTTAAATTGTGTAACTTAAATTGTGGTACCTTTTTGCTAAGAACACTAAACAGTAAAGTCACCGCATGGGACCCAAAGACTTCGAGAATTTGTACCATACATATTTTATAGAAATTGTAATCCAATTCATGTTAAACTTGCAAATAGTCTTCACAAATCACAGTCTCCCTTTATATAAGTCTAACGAAATTAACTTGTACTGCAGAGTACACACAGACACTGGAATTATGTTATGAAGGAAAACATTCAGGTATTATTTGAGGAGTTCAAAGGTTTAAAAATGCTAGGTGAGAATTAACGCCACAGCTCCTTGCGCAAGATGAACTGCACTGTTGCCTTTATCTTTCATATTTTCCCTCGGACTCCATGAAGGATAAGAATTCGCTAATGACAGCCATGTTTGAAACCATGTGCGTCGTAAACTCAACACATCGCTTATTGTGCATTAACACTGATATACAGCAGAACCATTTATGTTCTTCAGCAAGCACTTAAGTCATGAACAGTATCAATGATGACATTGTCATACGACACGTATGTCATTAACTCAGACCATTAATGTCACAGACCGCCACTGTGGTGTAATGTTTAGAGTGTCCGCCCGGAGATCGGAAGGTCGCGGGTTCGATCCCGGCCGCGTCAAACCAAAAGACGTTAAAATATGGTACTTGTTGGTCCCTGCATGGCGCTCGGCGTTAATGGGTACAAGGACTGGTCGGCTCGGAGTCAGTACAATGTGTTGAGTGGGGTATTCATGCTTAGTGCGGTATGTGACTCAGTGAGTTTGCACTATAAAACCAGCTTCGTGCGGCGTTTACCAACTATTAAAACGCGAGTTTTGGGGAATCAGCTCGCTTGGCAAGAGGTCTGCCCATACCAACCCACACACAACACAACACCTGAGTAAATAAACAAGGAGTTTATTACACAGCAGTCACTGAACGATTTTACATAATCAGTCAATAATAGCATAGTTTACAATTAATTATTAGAACATGTTCACAATGCAATCAGATATCAAAGTACATAAACATCACATGTAGATTCGTTACACACGACAGATACTACATTAATCACGATACATATTCCAATGTACACAACAATAGTTCAGTACACTACACATCACCCCAGTGGGCGTTCATACAATCGACATTCCGTAACGGTC